CTAAGACTAGATACTGGTCTGCAGCCCTCTGTTTATTGGCTGTGATTACTTCTGCTAGTCTCATTTAGGTTCATGTTTTGTAGTTTTGCTGTTCTGCTAACAACTAATAGGAGCAGTGTACAAGCAGTCTTATTAGGGAGTTTCTGCCTTCTTGGCTTCAGGATCTGTGCGGCATTTTCTGCTGCTATCAAACAGATTACAAAAATACCATGAAAACAGAAGACAATCATGGAAAGTTAAAGGGAAACCTCCCAGATTGAGAATATTGCAATTGCTACACTGCAGCATTACCTAAACACCAAATTATTAGGCATATTTTACCAGGGAAATTCTCTCTAAGTCAGTTGAAAATATGTGTATAACAACACCACCCCTAGCATTAAAGTTTGAACTCCGTGCTTTCAAAAAAGTACAGCTCTATCACTGTGAAGTTAAAACAATTGATAATACTTAAAGTCTAGTGCCAAAACTCTCCTACTTGATGGTCAGAAAGCATAACTGTTAAATAAAACCCATATTCGAGCCACACAACTAAAATACTTCCAAGCTTCAAGAATTCCTGCACTTCAGAGACCATTATATCTCTATGATCAAGAGAGATATAATCATCATTAATGGCAAGCCTCTTGAATCCCTCAGCACAACTATTCACCCATTCTCAGATGCCAACCTGTTCTTGCTGGACTGGTACTGCCTCCCATCATCCAGTAATTCTTAGCTTAATATTTGTAAAATATCCCAGATTTTGTCCGAGTATAAAGCTGTGAGAAAAGGCAGAGAGAGTGAACCTGAAAAACATCAGAAGGATGTACAATGGAGTTAGGGAAATAGAATTGGGGATTTCTAAATTACTTCAGCAGTTCTGAGATCAAGATACCCTCCAGTATAAGGAGTTACGCCTTGTGTGTTCTGAATCCCTTTGTGCTCCCACTGTGGGTTCTCAGCCCCACATATGTATGCATTTGTTGGATGCTTGTCGGAGACGGTAAGAGTAATTCCTTCCTGTTCCACACCCTTTGGTGGCTATCCAAAAAAAAAAAAAAAAAAAAAAAAAAAAAAAAAAAAATTAGAACCAGGGGGAAGAATGTGTGAGTCACAAGGGGATTTTTAATTTGTAAATGGCATTTGTAAGGCTGGTGTTGAAATACTTCATCCAATTCTGACATCCAAATTTTAAAGAAGCTCTTATGGGTCTAGGGAGGTCAGAAAAGGTGCAAAGACAAAGGACTCAGGAGATAGAAAGATATACAGCAGGAGATTGAAACATTTCAGTTGACTTAAGATATCAATGTGATTTGATTGTAACAAGTTATAAGACCTTCCCACAGGATAGAGATAGTAGGTACAAAGTCTGGTTCCTGGATGTGATGTAAAAGCCAAAGTAATTCAAACTAGAAAGGTAATTTTTTAACAGATGAGAGGATGGATCATTAGAATAAAGTAATCATTGTAAAACAGCTCTTGAGCCCACAGATTGAGGCATCTTCTAAAAGATTTGCCTCCAAGTTACTGGGCTTTGTACACAGATAGCATGTAAAGTTTACATTAAGAGAAGACCAGACTTAATGACCTAATGGCCCTTCTTAGTCTTAAAATCCATAAATATTTTAGTGGCGAAGTACAGTGTGCTGTGATGTGACTGCTTGTTATGCTTCTGGATTCAAGTCAGTTGACCAAGTACACTCCTGAAGGCTACATATGCTGGGCAAAGAATAAACCACTCTTCTATCACCAAGCAACACAGTGTTCTTGGTGTCATATGACTTTTCTGTCCCATGAAACATTATACATTAATATCAGTCTGCACAGAGTTTTCTCAAAACAAGGTCCCAAATCACTTTTGGGACATAAACTAACAAAATAGACAGACATGGACAGTTTCAGGAGGCAGATGAGATTTTCCACCAACCATCTGCTGTTTGAATAAAATTGAGCAGTTGCACACATTGATACACTGTTACTAATTCAGGTTGCCTTTCGAGCTTTAACTGTTTGACAGCAAAGAAAAACAACTTTCCATTTAAAATTCATAACATTTCTGGAACTATTCTAGCTTCCCTGGATAAAAATGAAGCTATCCACCTTAGGTAAGGTCCAATGTAGATGTGAGTTTTCACAAAATTTAATTATATACTTATGCAAGTAAGCATAAATACCTCAGATATCACTGATAACAGATACACAGGGAGGAAAAAGATTAACCCCATACAGCTTGTTAATTGTTCATGTCTATACTCACTTTTTCCAGTGGTTCTAAGAATCACATAGAATGTTTGACTGCAGTCTATTAAGAACATCAGACTTCACTATAGCAATTCTGCTATGAAATCTCTGAGAAGTATAAAAATGACAAATCACCTCTGCATCTATGTATGTATTGAGAAATACAGGACAGCAAAGCACAAAAGTAGCATGGTTATCTTGCATTTAAAGAAAGACACACTATAAACAGCAACAAAAATCTTTGCTGAAAGCATTCTGTGTTACTTTTGTTTATACAAACAAGTCCTGTGTACCTCAATACAGTTTAATCATAGGATTCCCAGGAAATTTTTGTCCCTTTTTAATCATATATACAATGCAAATATAATAATATTTAGTCCATATATTCTTCGACACATACACCTAAACATTAGTAGTATTCATTCCTAGATAACCAATAACAACCTGTTTAAAATGATTACTATCTGCAAGGTAAATGGTATGCTTTCTCATGTATTCTCAATCTGAAAACTACTGTCATTTTCATTATATGTTCCAACGAGAACATGTAATTGCTGAGGCAGAGATCTCTTCCAGATCCAGTAGGAAATTCAAAAAATCCCTTAGTTCATCAAGACTGGATACCTATGACTTCAAAGGTCCTTTAAAGGACTTTTCATACCTTCTGTGATCAAGTGATCACGTTTCTTTCACAAGTACTTATATTCTTGAATTACTTTCTTGATATTACTGGATGTCATTTTTTAGGACAGTTGTTAACCACAAAAGAGGTTGATCAACTGGAGAAAGTACAGAGGCATTTAACAAATGGGATCAGAAGTCTACAAAGCATGTTCTACTCATAGAAGTGGGTTTGTTTAGTCTAAATAGAGAAGAATGAGGGGAGATATGATAACAGTCTTCGACTATGTAAAAGGTTGTTGCAATAAGCCTTCTTCAAGCCCACAAGGGATAGGACAAGAAGCAATGGGCTTAAATTAGAGCAAACATGACTTAAAGATCAAGAAAAGCATTTTATGGGACACTGGAAAATTAAGTTTTAAATTTTTAAAGCTTATCTACTTAAAAATTATGTTAAGTGTATAAACGTAGCAAGAACTAAATTTACTAATTAGCATGTACTGTAGCACAAATAGATAACAGATTTGTGAAGGACCACAACATTCACCCATATGGAGACTAGGGAAAAATCACCCAAGTGCTAAAATAGAACCATGGAACTCAATAAAACAGATTCATTTTTTCCTTACATAATGGCCAAAAGCCAAAGATCTGTGCTGTACAATTACTTGATAACTAACGATTACTTTTGCTTAAGAATATATCAATTTTCACCTTGTTACTGACTTAGTCCAGTTCGAGTGCAAGGAAATTTTTAGAATTTTAGAATTCAAAATTCTAAGAATAATTCTGATTTGGTCAGGGGAACTCAAAATGAAAAATAAAGAAAAGCGCTCAATAAGGGTGCTGTTCTCCCCACGCCACAAAGTAAATAATTCTGATGTTAAGAGAAAAGCATTTCACCCTTTCTCCCTCTGTTGTTGCTTATTATTGACCTCTGTCTGTAACCACTCTCTTTTCTAAAAATCATTTCAATGAGTCTGGAAAAGCAGAAATACAAGTAGCTATTAACTAATCACTGACATTCAAATCATTTCATCAATGTCTACCCCACAACCAATCTTTCACTTTTTTCTTTAAGGCAGGGAAAATTCTGAGCTGAATGCTGGAAGTCTTATTTAACTCACCTCAGTGGTAGTCATGCAACAAAACAGGCAATAATCACAACTTGTGATACAAGGTAAAAAATGTTCCTAACTATGTTTACTTTAAAAAAAAAGGAGTGACAGCATTTTTTATGTCTAAATACTACCTAGAGACTTAAAAAACTATAGAAATCTAACTAAATCATAATGCTTTACTAGTTTTCTGTTTGGAAAGGAAGAAATCTGTTTCCTTTTCCTCTCCAAAATAAGACAGATACTGAACAGTACCCGTATTTTCAGTACAATCATACTTGCTTCTTACTCAGTTTAGGAGATGCTGAACAAAGCAAAAAAGTATCCATTCCACGAGGGACATGCATTTAAATCAAGAATTATCTCAGTCACAGTAATTAACACTGTTTCTGTTAGATGCCCTTTACTCCACTGGACACCTTGCAAAGTATATTTTAGCCAGGACAAGACTGTGAACTAAATCATTCTGTGTATAGCTCAAAACCCTGCTCTGCTGGCAGATAACAATGCTATTTCATCAATAAAACACTCCTTTTCAATATTGGTTCTCAAAACACATCTCACAACTCCAAGGAGTTGAGATTTGGATTGAACCATCTTGCTAATGGAACACTAAATCAAGGTTAATAAATCAATCAACATGAATTAATCTTCATCTGGCAGGGAATTCTCAAAAAAAAAATGGTTTTGGATAAAAATTTAATCACAGAAAAGAGATATACATAGCCTGAAAGAGTGGTCATCTTGATACAATATGGATTTTTAAATTAGATTTTTCACTGCCTCCATGGTCAGACATACCTAAACCAAGGAGAACATAGAGAAGCTTTTCTTTCTCTCATTAATCTTGGACTAAATAACAACACTTTATATACCTACTGGAAGCATTCACCAAATAACAGAGCTAAAAATATCTGGAAGAGCACAGCAGCTGCTAATGAAAACCCAATCAATGTCAGCTCAGGCTGTAATCTCAAGTAGCTTCACAGTTTCATCATGAGTAAAGAATAAAGGTGATTCACTTGAACAGTTTATTACCTTGAATACTCCTTTTGAAAAATGCTTTGCAACCCTCACAGGACCAGACGCCATAATGGTAGCCTGAAGCATAGTCATTGCAGACAGCACAGTACCGGGTCTCCTTGGTGGACTCCATGGACAGGTTCCCTTTCTCATTAGTACTGGACAACCTCTCCCGGTGGCGCCTGTTATCAGAGCTTGGCCTGTTAATAGCAAAAAACAAGCATAATTCTTTCAGCAAGGTTAAGTCTCTTCTACTCCTGCAGTCTGTACGAAGAGTAGATCTAGTTTTGAGACATGAGATGGACAAAAAAAAAATCTTTTACCACCCGCTGTCCTGTTCTAGTTGGGAAGGCGTAGAACCAGTAAGATACAGGGGATTTATTAATGTTGGGAACCTTATTAAAGTTTATAAATATCTAAAGGGTGGGGGTCAAGATGATGGGGCCAGGCTCTTCAGTGGTGGTCAGCAACAGGACAAGGGGCAATGGCCACAAGCTGTAACACAGGAGGTTACACTTAAACATGAGGAAAAACTTATTTACTGTGAAGGTGACAGAGCACTGGAACAGGCTGCCTAGAGAGGTGGTGGACTCTCCATCTCTGGACATATTCAAAACCCACCTGGATGCAGTCCTGTGCAACATGCTTTAGGTGAACCTGCTTTTGGCAGGGGGGTTGGACTAGATGATCTCCAGAGGTCCCTTCCAACCTCTACCATTCTGTGATTTTCTCACAAATCAATCTGATGCTATTAGGCATTCTATCTTGAAAAATTAAAAAGCTATTTGATAAATTAATCCACTTTTCTGAAGACATTATAAAGAAATAAAGAAAAAAATCAGCATTTTTTTTATGTACCTGTTCCTGTCTAAAGGGTTCAGCATGACTGCAGTATCAGTAGGTAGTCTGAGAATTTGAGGCAAAAATCACTTAATGTTACCACCTGAATTTGCAGGTCACTTAAATTATTAATACTATTTTCAACTACTATTGCCCAGTTAGAGATACAAACTTTCCTTACATTGTCAAAGATACAATACTGCATAACACAGTTCCTATTCTCATTACAATACCACTTTCATAAAAATTACAAAGTGATTTTAGTACAAGAAAAGTCAGAAGGCATTAAAAATTGTTGCCAAGGAATTTTTGTTCTAGTACCACACATGTTATTAGACATGTAGTAGACATTACTAGACATACCAGACATCCACATGACCCACAGGTGCAGTATGCTGCCAAATAAAAAACAAAACAATCTATAGCATAAATGGCAATGAATTCCTATCTGGTAAGAGGTTATTATGAGTAGCTGTTGCAGGCCTGGTAAACAATATTCAAAAAGATGAGAGGATGTGAAATTACCAAGGCAACTAGCAATGAACTCTGGGATTGCTCCTGAGAGGCAAACAGATCTTGCAAAACATGATTTCCAGTAAGAGTCTGCACTACAAATTGTCCAGGAGACAAATACAATTGGATGTGACGACATCACACAAGCTAAAGCATAAAGAATCCTACTGTTTACAGTAATTATCCACTTACCATGCATGTTTTAATTGCTGATTAGTAAGCAGGTGGCTCTTATCTCCCTGGAGTCCCAACATTTTCTCAAACATACCCTGGTTTTGAGCCTAGGAAACCAGGGGGTCTTTCATTCAGATTTCTTCCTACATACCTAATTATGCCTTATTCCCTTCTTCGGTGCATTTTGATCAGCTGAGGCATCTGGCACCAACAGCACCTTCATGCTCCAAACAGGTACTTTAGCAGCTTTCTGATACTTGTACAGTCAACTGTCCTCTTTTGTCTAGCCAAACTTCCCTGTCATCTCCTGCTCCTGTCCATCTCAACATCCAAAAGCTTTCTACTAGTCAGGGCCATCTGAATGCTCTCACCCACGCTGCCAGCCAACCCCTCGAGACTTTTTATATATAATTTCTGTCCCTAAATACAATGTATTTTCATTTAACAACTTTGAATATATATCAGTTATTAAAGAAACATGAGGCTTTGCCATGTGAGATGATAGAAACTGGTACTGGCATTGTTCAGAAAAACTGCATTTTCTTAAATGTTCTTTACCAAGTCTTATAAACCAGCTTATTTTGAGCACTTATTTAAAAAAAAAAGATTAAAAATTGATTCCTTGGGGCTTATGCAGGACAGAAGAAACTGCAAATGTTGAAGTGTTGAAATGGCACAACCCTGGCTTTTTAGTGAGGTGGGAAAACTGGAAAATGTCACAATTTTGACATAAATTTTAAAAAGTAGGTGGGGGAAAAAAAATCTTGAATAATTCAGATGTTAAAATACGAAAAGGTGAAAATATCATTAATAAGTTATTATGGATACAACTTATACATAGTTCATGTATCTACCTTTTCCAACCTGTCAAATCTAGGTGGTTTTTTTATTCTTCTCCAGGTCCTGAATCTTCCTTTGAATTTGCTTTACCTCAGTGCCTCATTTAATTGACTTCTTTTTTTTTTTTCTACTGAGCACTGACCAAAGCTGCTGTTTCTCTCTCCACCCCATTTTCTCCTGCCTGCAGCTAGATCACCTAATCAATCATCTCAGTATAATTTTAAATTAACAACAATGTGGCTTTTTAAAAAATATAATTTTAGATGTGTATAACTACAGGAATGTTTTAAATATTTAAAGTAAATCAACAATAGGTGGAGTAACTGCCAATATAATTTTAACAGTGATAGACTAATCTGTTAGCTGTATGTGACCACCTGATAGATATTCATAATTTTGGATTTTTTTTTTCAAAACTGCTACAAATATGGATATTATACAAGACAAAGTTCACAGAATTGTTTTCATACCAATAAAAAATAAAAAGTAAATTACAGTTTCATGAAATTTTACTTTTTAAAAATGCACATTAGAAACAATAAAATGAAGAAAATGTCAGGTTCCAAAACAATTACATATTTTTGCAGGTGTGGGCTGCTTTTTCAGAGGCAGGCTGCAGGCAGAAGCAATGAGACAGCATGTTCCCTGTAAGCACACCCACGACCCATGGCACAAGGGATCAGGGACAGACAGGAGAGCAATGCCACTTGATGGGTTCACACCTGCCCCTAATGCCCCTACATTTCGCATTTGACAGATCTCCAATGTCTTCCTGCACACAAACTTGTTATATTGTAAGAGCACTATTAATCTGGTAACACAGACGTACAGGAAACAAAATGAATCCAAAGATGGCCCTGCTGGCTTCCCACCCACATCGCCCTCACAAATTCAGTGCCACTCCAGCACTACTTTGAGCAAGGTCTTGCAGAGCCATCACATTCAGGCTCTTGTGGGATACACAATAAAATACCCCTAAAATACCCTCCCCAGAAATAATCTCCTGGCACCCCTTTCCATTTATACAATGGAAATGGAAGCTGGTAAGAAATAAACTCTGGATTATCACAACTCTCGTACTTATTAGAGAAGGTGAGGAGGAAATATTTTTGGGAAAAGAGAATCCCAATAACACAGAGCTTGTTAAATCAAAATAACATCTCAAATTTCATCCAGAAATCAGCTACTAGTTACTGCACATCACAGACCACTGATGCTGTGTCCTGACAAAAAATAACAATCTGCTCTTTGTCCAGTTTTCAGTTAGGTTTCAAGGGTTAGCCTTCTGGAGAACATAGTGCAACAACCTAACCCAACTTTAATAACTTTGGCAAGACCAACATTCCCAAAATACAATAGCAGAACCTTTTCAACAATTTCCTTTGTAATCCATGCAAACAATAACAAAAAAAAGACCAAAAGTTCTTGTCAACTGTGTTTACCAAAAAGAAACACAAATTTAAAAAAAAAAAAAAAAAGAAAACCCCAGATAAAGCCCTCCTTTCAAGGCTCCCACCAAAACAGAGCAGATTAGAAAGCAAAAAACCTCAGGATTTACTGCTTATTTCCAAATATAATAACACAGTAGACATAAAATGGAAAGTGTTTTGGAACCTACAGGACAAACTTGTCTTCTACACTCACTTTCATATTTTTGCACCTAAGTCACGCTGAGTCTGCTCTTCAATAAATATATTAGCAAACAAGACAACCACTTTAAACTCTCACTCAATGACTGCAACTCTGAATCAGCTAAGAGATCATTAACCCCATGTTGACTGTAGGGTAAAAAGAATGTGTATATGAGGAACATTACAGTTTTGTAATGTAAACTCAGTTTTATATATCATGGTGATCTGACAGGCAGGCAGGATGAATTTAGGATAACCCATGGTACAGACTCTACCTGACAGCAAGGTAAGGCCCAATTTATTCACAATCCCAGCTTTAGCTGAAGCAAGGATATTTCATAGATGGGGTGCTTAAGGGGAAAGTTATTTAAACAGTTAAAGGAGATACCTTGAGAAATTCTCATTTTCTGAATTTACATTTATACAAGGAATTTTAATTTGCAGCTGTTAAATATTTCTTACCAGAATGGATAGAAGTTCCCAGTGTAAACAGCCTCCAAAACCAATGGCCATTGAAATGCAGTCAAGGTCTAGCACGAATGCTTTTCCACACATTGGACTGATTATAACACCATTCTACTATTCAATACGAAATTAATTAACTTGCTGTTAGAATGTGAATTTCCATATGTGGCAAAATATTTATGAAAGATTATTTGAACAGAATTAAATGCTTGAAAATACTTAAAAGACATCTCAAGGAGAAGTACTGCAATAGGAATGACTAAGTACACAAACAAACAGAAAATTGCCAAGTACATTAAACGCCTTAAAAACTGCCTGTACTCTCAGAAAGTAGCTCCAATGAATCTGAAAAAAAAAAAAATCATATGCCATCCAAATGGAAATATTAGCTTAAAACAAATGTCCCAAAATGCCTAAGGTTGTAATTAAGCTAAATACAACTTGATGATGGAGGGAGAAAGTCTTACACGTTGTTGTGTATCAAATGGACAGAATCATAGGTTATTTTAGGCTAGATGGGACCTTGGGAGGTGGTCCCATGCTGAGTCAGCATTGGCACAAGATGGGCTACAGCAATGAGGATGGGTTCCAGCAATGGAACCAGAAGCTGGCATCGCTCCTTGGCTGATCCTCTGCCAGGGAGGAACCTCAGCTGGGGTTCACCTCCAGGGCCTGATTTCAAGTGATTCCCAGTCCATGGTTCTGAGCACATTGCACTCACACAGCTAAACCCTCTT